GACTGGTGGAACAGCAGCACCGGTAGCTGGTTTGGCGGTGTTGCCCATAGCGGGCCAAGCGACATTTCCAATGTGCTGGGCGACGATGACTGAGTGAACCAGCTGGATTGGCTCAAACACCGCCTCAGGGTTGCCCCATGCTTCTTCGTATTGCTGGTGGCGAATGATCTCCTCCGCGTGGCGTGAGTTGCGCCAATTATCGATATGGCGATGAACGGCATGACGATTATTAAGGTGCTGACGTAAGTCACCAGTAGGTTGTTCAACCTCCTGGTTGGGGTTGGGGTTGGCATACTATGGCCATTCCCCGAGTTTGACAATGTAATTGCCTCTTGATCCCCCTTGGAGATAAGGGCCGCCTACCTAGAGGCGACTTCCACCAGGTTGCTGGGATCGGGCCCTGTGTGGCCCCATGGATCGGTTTGACGAGGTTGAGTGGTATGGCGTATGATTTTGGCGATTTTTGATAACCTGAACCGCAGTTGCTTTGAGCATGGCGGTGGCTTTGGCGAGCTCCGGTGATGGCGCGAGCCTACCTAGCTCGTTCATGGTGACAATGAGGTTGGCACTCGATGTCGGTAGGACCTCATGGCCATCAACTTGGATGAATTCCTCGTTGAGGTTGCGAATGACATGGTGCCCTCCCTGGTTGTGGGCGGCGGCGCTACCATCGACCACGCTAGGATTGGCGTTTGCTGTGGCGTCTACTTCACCGTGGCGCCGAGCGCGATTGGTGTTTCTCCCTTCTTGTGCGGCGCGTTGAGCGTTAGTCTCCCGATCACGAGCAGCACTATCAGCGCTGATCATGAAGATTTCCCTAGGAAAACATCTAGGCGGAGATGGAGAGCTGGCGATGAGGTCGGTGATAGTCTCGGTGATAGTTTTGGTGGAGCTTTCCGATTCTACCCTCGGATCTACCTCCAAGATCGGGAGCAACGAGTCATCATCGAGCTGATGAATCTGCACCATGTTGCTGGCTAGTGCAAACTGATTGGCGCTCGGCAAAACGAGCTCAATGAGCGAATGAATGTTGCCTATCTGGTTGGTGTAGAGATCGTGTAGGGCCTCTTGATATGAAGCGGCCATGTTGGCCAGCCCATAGGGGTGAGCCATTGCGGGACCCCGCGTTGGAGCTTGCCGACTAGCCCTAGGCTGGTCAGATCCGAAGAGCGGTTAGCGCTGCACTGTGCACCCTTGTGGAGTTGCCATGATTGTCGGATCTGCATGTTGCCACTTTGGACGGCGTGATCGAGCGAAGCACTTAGGGCGAACCACCTAGAACGGAGGAAACTCGTCGTCGTGAGGAGACTGATCTAGGACCGACTCCACGAGCGACAAGCATTCGGCGAGCTTCTTGTCAACCCGATCTATAGATGAGATCAGGTCATCCTGTTTGACAGGCTTCCTTAGCTGGCGTGACGCCGAAGTGCGAGCTACCGGAGAAGAAGATGAATCCGGGAGAGATCCCAAGATTGGATCTACTGGCGCAGATGTCAGAGCTATCGGCGTAGGGTTGTCCTACACTGGGTGGATGACCTCCCCATCGCCGTTGGCGTTGATGACCCAGGTGATGGAACCGACCGTGAAGATTTGGCCGGCCCTAGGAGCGAAAGGAGAGCTTGGAAGACGTACCATCTGGCCCACCATGGGATCAAGCGCACACCCCTACCTGGCGCGCGAACTGTCGACTAAATGTGCTCGGCAATCCATCGAGGGGTATACCCACGATGATAGATTTATCATAGAGGTGAGCGAGATCAGGAGCGAGATGGTGACAAGACACAAGATTTAGACAGGTTCAGGCCATCAGCTTGACGTAATACTCTAATCTTGTATCCCGTCTGTTTGTATTAGCTATCGTATATGATTGCATGTGTTTTGAGGGGGTCCCCTACCCGCCTTATATACCCCGGGGGGTAGGGTTACATGCCGATCAGGTCTACAACTAATCGGGTAACAAATAAGATATACATGGAATATTACATTTGGCCTATCCTAACAGATTCTATGCTATCTTCAGGATGTCGTCGAGGTGCCTTGCGACGTGCACCGAGCTGTGTCGTGAGCCGCAAGCCATCATCTTGTGGGCTGGACCGTCCCTTGCGGTGCGTCCCATGTAGTCCTTCATGGGTACCTAGGGTCAGACCCCCCATAGTAGTCTTCTGAAGTTGCTCTAGCCAATACCATGTAGTCAAAACTCGAAACCCTAACACTCAAACTCCTGGAGAAGACAAATGATTGTCGTATGGAAGAACAAAATGAGTGTTAGTTAATAACTATGAACTATTAGACACAAGACATATAGGGGTTATAGAAGATAAACTAATCCTATGGTATGGTACCCGATGGTGTCAAAGTTAGTCAAAGTTAGGGCTTGTTTGGTAGAGTTTCACTTGTTTTTGGTTTTCTAGGTGATTCTTTGGGATGAGTGGTTATATGACTGAAAGTCATTCCCTAGGATCAATCAATAGAAGTGATTCTATGCGTGAAGAGATCAAAGCTAATCTTTTTACTCACATTTTGTTTTAGATAATTGCTTCATAAAATCACTATACAAATAATAAGCATTTGCAGAGCTTCTTTGGAATCAAAGAAGAGTTGCTCTAGGAGCTCCATCAAAAGGGATCGATTTAGACATTTACTCAAGAAAATGACAATGTTGAGTGGAAGTAACATGTGAACAAACTTTATATATCAAGATGAAGTGATAACATAAACCACTACCTTTTGCTGCAAATACTCTTGGGGTTAAGACTCCCCTCAAGATCAAAATCTTCACCGGTATTTGGAAAGAGGGGTACATGGAACAAAGATAATCTAGAGGTAAAGTGCTCTGAATTTTGTTATGGTTGCATGTATATCGACGATCTTGATCTCCTTCCCTCCTTATAACCTTATTTTTAAAAGCAAAGCAAGTGGCAAGAGCTTTGTTTTCCAATTAAAATGGATAGAGATTCAAAGTTTTAAGCAACACAACAGTCAAGTACCCCTACCCAACAATACACCGACATACATATGGAAGATACAACATATTGCATGCAAGTTTCTCAAGAGTAACACAAAAGGAAAGCTCTTCCCTCGTTGATTCCCTCGGTTTTTGTAGCCACTTCAGGTGTCGTTAGAAACTCATTTTGGAAATTTTCTTTGATTACACTCCTTTCAAATGTTGCATAAGGTATAATGACCACAACACCAAAAAATTGTCACTACTCCTTTGTGGCAATCATTGCCATATTTTTCTAGTGAGCAAAGGATGGGACTCATAGCTTAGGGGTGTTGAGGCAGTGGGTGATATGGCAATGTTTCCAAACTTTATACGTGAAGGAGTAGTGAAGAGCAAGGTGTGGGCTAGTTTATTTTAAGGGAGGGAGGAGTGTTACAAAGGGCACAACAACTCTAGTATAGCCAACCTCTACTCTTTACAACCTTTTTTATCTTCATGTTTCCTCTTCACTACCTATCCTGACTCAATCGAAGCATGCCACCACTTCCTCATCCTCCAATCGCACCATCACTTTCGATCTATGGCCATGTCCTTATCCATACTAATCACTACAATGTTAGAAGCCCCTGCCATCAAATCCGAGTTATAACCTTCCCTGGGCATATCTCTATCTAGGAACTTCCCACTCTCAAACTCTAATCCCCAAACCCAGAGAAGATGGCTCCATCTGAGTAGAAGAGCACATGAATCTCCAATAATTGAACTCTACCATATGAAATCCAATAGAATTCCTCCTTTTGTGTCAAGGTTGTAGGTTTAACACCATGTCCTTCTACAGTGCATGGGTAATTAAGGGGCCGTTTGGTAGCGCCTCACGCGCCGCTTCACGGGCTGCTTCACCTGCGCGTCGACCAAATGGTGTCCTTTAGCTCTGCTTCATGAGACAAGCTCCGAAAAATACACTGAGAGAAGAGGGGAGAGAGAGTAGAAGCTAAAAAATGTAGCTTCTGTCGATTTCTTCTGACATAGGTGGGTCCTGATGGGGCCACAGACAGATTTGCCCTTACCGACGCTAGAACCTGCGTGGGGCAGAGTGGCCAGGCCGCGTGCTGGCGACAGTGCCGGGGCGGAGACGTGCGCGGAGGCCAGCGTGGGAAGGGGTGATAGCGCCGGCAGCGTGCTGGCGCAGGGAAGGGACGAGCACAATGTTGGCGCGAATGCCAAGACGCGGGCGTGGACGTCAAGACATGGGCGGGAATGCCAAGCTGCGCAGGCGCCGAGCATGGGGTGCGGAGGCGAGGAAGAAGAGATGCCCGTCCGGATAAGGAGAGAAGGAAAGAAACAAATGCTTGGCCATCCGGATAAGAGGAGAAGAAATAAATAAATGCTAGCATGGGGAAGAAAGAGGAAAATGGGGGGGGGGGAAAGAAAAAAAAAGGGCAATATCGTCATTTCATCCGTTTTGTTTACTAGGAAGCTATTTTACCAAACGGTTCATTCAAACAAATTCATCTCGAACCGTAGAGCTACTTTTCGAGCCAAAGCCAATAAAAGGTGATACACCAGTGAAACTGAGCTTTAACGAAGAGGCCCTGAATGCAACTGGAATCCACATTTTCATTTCATATGTGATGTACTAGAGGAGAAAATGGCCCGTTTGTCTCGATCGGTCGGCATAGAAAAAATGTGATTGCATATAATGTATATATACCACAGCAGATACATACATTTATACTTTCTCCGTCCCTGTTGTTCTTCCTTGTTCTTGGAAGGCTAACACTACTAATAACCGGACGACGATGCCACATTTGCATCGCTGATACTTAAGTCGATCCATATCCCTGTACTAAACATATGTTTTGCCCCAAATATTACGGAGCACCTTACCACGTGATGATGCAAAATTCATGGAGAAAATAAACCAAATCTGATGCACAGGCAAGCCCTGCGCCACTGCCGTACGTTCTCCTACTATGCGTTGGTTGAGGGCTACTCCGGTGGACACGTATTCTCGTCGTTCCAAACGCGACGGACATTCATCTTCGAGGCCGCCTTCTCACTTGTGTACCTTCACCCACGCGGCCTTGCTCGGCACGCCTTTCGCCAGGACGTACAACAGGTAGTAGCCGGGCGGCGCGAGCTCAGGCTTTCCCGGAGCGTCGACGGTTATCGTGTATCTCTGCCCGTTGGCCGTGAACGTGGTGACGGACAGCACCAGCAGCCGCTGGTTCATGGAGTACCCGTGCGTCGTGAACGCTGGCGCGTACATGGTGACCTTCACGTCGGCCTCGGCCACGGCCTGCACGGGCGTGGAGAACTGGAACGTGAACTTGGCCCCGTACGCCATCCCGTCGCCGGGGACGGTCCCCACGTCGATCATGGGCCGGTTGGTCGCGAGCGCCGGGGAGAGGTACGGCGGGGTGAACCGCTCGACGCGCACCTCCGTCTGGAAGTCGACGCCGCTGAAGTTGTAGGCGGAGTTGGTGTTGCTGCCGGCCACAAGCACGGTGGCGTCGGGCAGCACCGCGCTGGTGGCGTGGTACATGCGCGGGATGGTCGTCGGTGCCAGCGCGCGGAACCGCGAGCCCCGCTTCTGCCGCGGAGAGTACAGGAGCGGGCTCAGCACGGGCTGCCGCCCGAAACCCCAGCCGGAGCAGCCCTTAGCCGCGCCGTTCAGGATGAGCAGGTCGCCGGTGGGCAGGATGAGCAGGTCGCCCATGGTGCGGCTCACGGGCATCTGGTCGGTCGCCCACCGCGCGTCGGGCTTCAAGGGGTTGATGCGCGCGCAGTCCTTGAGAGCGGCGTTAAAAATGTTGGCCTCGCCGAGCTTGAAGGCGTTCTTGGGGGAGCCACCGCAGACGATGACCTCGGGACTGAGGACGTCGCCGCGGCGGAGGTCCAGGGGGAGGAGCGCCGACATGCCGGAGGCAGGGTAGTTCCGGCCCCCGCCAGGGAGGACCGGGAGCTCGCGGACGACCTGGCCGTTCCTGGGGTCGAACAGGATGGAGCGGTCGTTGGCGAAGATGAAGAGAGTCCCGTCGGGAAGGAGGTGGACGAACGGGTACAGGTTGTTCTCCACGTCGTCGGTGGTGTCACGGAGTATCTGGAGGTTATTGGCTTGGGCGTTCGACTGGCCTTCCGCCGGAACGAATTCGTAGCTGAACGCACGCCGGCCGCCGAGCACGATGGAGCGCCCGTCCGGAAGTATCTGCTGCGTCCCGTACCTGCGCACGCACGCACGCACGCCACTGTGTGAGTCTGTAATCGGTTGATGATGACTGTTGTGATACGCACTAGCTAGTTGTGGTATGCACCATCTTCCTTCGGCCAGGCTCCCCGGGAACTCCCTCCAATCGCAGTTGCCGCATGGGCTCAGGTACCTCACAACCTTCTCCCCTTCGAAGTAGCCGCCGGTCTGCACCAGGTTGCCCTCGGCGTCGAGCGCGCCCGATGAGCACCACACGTCCGTTAAGACCTGCATGCAGTGCAGACAATGGCCGTCGCGGCTCGTGCGTGACTTTTGTCCTTGGAACCATGCAACAAACCGACGAGACGACGGAAAGGAAGAAGAAGAAGCGTAAGGCACACCATGGCACCAACCAACCTTGAGAGGCCTGACCCCGCCCGTGGCGTAATCAAACTCGACGGCGTGCGCGGCGCAGTCCTGGGCGCCGACCTCCTTGCTCCGGAGGTCGAGGCGGCAGTTCCCCTTGGGCAGCCTCAGCAGCGACGGGCCCGTGGTAACCGTGTCGAACATGATGGCCTTGTCGCTCCGCAAGATCACCAGGTGCATCGCGGACACGCCGGCGTTCTCGCTGATGATGGACCACGCGCCGGGGAACTCGCCGGCGTTGTCCACGGGGAGCACCACCGTGTCCTGCGCCACCGCGGTGGGCGCGGACCGGGGCGGCACCTTCATGAGGCCGCTCTTGGTCACGGGCGCCGTGATGAGGTTCTGCTGGTCGCTGGCCCGGGGCATCACGTTCTCCTCCTGCCCCTGGTTCGCGTTGTGGAAGTAGTCGTGCTCGTTCCGCGGCTTGAAGATGTTGAGGAAATCGGTGGCGCTGTGCGCCTCGCCGCCCACGGCGGCGAGGGCGAACAGCGCGGCGGAGAGCACGGCGGCACGGAGGAGAGGACCCATTGTCGGAGAGAACCTCGAGGCTGCCCCAGGTGGTTTCCTGGCCCCTGGCCGGCCTCATATAAGCTATAAGCCGGAGGACGGGACCCCGTTGCATGCTCGCCATTGTCCATCGCGACCTCGTAATAATTGTATGGTGGGCGTGTGCTTGTTTGGGTACGGAAGAGCATGAGTAACGGTCGTTCAAATATAGCTAACTGTATTTTGTGGTTCGCGCGAACGAACAGCAGGAAATAAAGCTTCTCTAGTCCACTCTCCAGTCCAGTCCTGCAACTTTGTAAATTGATGGACCAGGACAATGGGCGATCGTGCATGCAGTTGCGGGCCTAATTGATTATTGTGTTCCATCAAATCGACCTACATCATATTGAAATGTTATCAAAACCTCAATCTGTAATCAAGATTAAGTCATTGGTTTATGTCGACCTAAGTTCCATTTTTGGTTGGTTGTCTGTGGGAGATGTGATATTTCACACATGTGACTGGAAAACGTCTCCGTAGCATTTGCATCGTCTCTCTCTTTTTGTTCTTCAACGGGAACATGGTTTTCCTTCATGAAACGTTTCTTTTCACTGCTGTAACATCATATGTTTGGCGAAAGTTTTCATCACGGAACATTTTGCAGCTTAATCATCACAATAACAGAAGTATTTGGCTCTACCAGAAAAGAAAAATGTTGTACCAATAAAGAAAAGAAATGTTCTAACAAAAGAAAAAAACACTGTTTTACCCTTAAACTATTGTCGTAGTCTAAATTTCCTCCTTGAACCCTAAAACTAGACATTGCACACCTTGAACTCTCAAGACAATCTAAATTACCTCCCTATCCTGAAGTAGTTGTGAAGACGATTTTTTCCTTTTTTTAGTTTAAAATATGATAAATACTTAATAAAGTTTTTAAACCACAGAAATGACTCCATGCTTCTAAAATTCCAAGAAAAATCATAGAGATAAATTGGGATATAGGGAAACCTAACAAAATATTTAGAGCTCATGAAAAATGTATCTATAAGCTTTTAAAATCATATTTAGCTTTTGGAAAATAAAAAAAACATGAAAATCTCCAAAACATTCTAACATTTCTTAACATGTTCTAAAAACCTTTTTTGACAAAAATAGGAGATGCAACATACACTAATAATGAATGCATTCATGCTATGCATTTGTGCTGATTGTGTCTTACATTCTTTGTTGTGGAAAGTTTTCAAAACATGTTTAAACATAAAATTAGAATTATTTGGTATTTTCCTAAAAAAATTTGTATACTTTTCTTCTTTCATATAGATAAATCTATTTTTTGTAAGTTTGTAGAGACATTTTCACGAGCTCTAAATATTATATTTGCATTTGATGTATCTCAATGTATTTGTATGATATTTTGTGGAACTTTTAGAAACTTAGAGACATTTTCTATGGTTTAAAGACCTTATCAATATTTAACTATTTATCATATGCTTTAAAAAAAAAAAAACACCGCATTCAAAAGCACTTCAAACCATGACAGGGAGGTAATTTGAACGATTTCAGGAGTCAAGGGTGTGATATCTAGTTTTAGAGTTCGAGAAGAAAATGTAGACTGCAGTAGTAGCTTAATAAGATAAAATAAATTGTTTTTCTAAAGAAAAAGAAAAAGAATCGAGAGGGATGTGCCACAACGGATTTCAGCAGCAACTGGCTTGCACGAGGCCCATTATGTCCATCCTTAGAGTGTCTCCAATAAAAAACTCAAATGGGCATTCAAATTCAAAATAGGTAGCAAGAGATCTAAAATTAGCCTTCAACAGAATACCTATACAGGAGACCTATTTTGGGTTGCCCGAGAGGCACAACCTAAATATGGACATCCTCTCTCCTGAAAACCATTTGCAGAAAAGATTCTCTTTTGTATTTTATTGTTGAAGAAGATGTCGAATATGTATTGAACCTTTTACCTGTAGTGTTATCTAAAGGATAAATAAATCTTGTATTTTGGGTGTTGTGGTTGGAGATAGCCTTAGTCTGGCTATATATTTCTCCAACAGAACTGGGCAGGTCAGTTCTCTCCTGGCTTGGAGGTTCTCTAACCATGTCTTTGGAGGCCCACATCATGACCTCCAGCACCTATCCGGCCCAAGCCATCGCCCGCAACTAGATTCCCCGCCACAAAACATCCTGGCCTGATTCGGTCCAGTAACAATTTTTTGCACTAAAAAATCATTGATGAGATGCGAGACGGCGGCCAGTTAATACTAACCTTTGTTTTGCTCAAAAGAAAAAATTTAATACTAACCTTTGTGCTTGTGCATTTATACAAGGGCTACTGACTACATGTGCGATCGCGCGCCGCCATATCAGATTGCATTGTTTTACTGCATGCACTGGTTCCATTAAGAAGAGGTTAGGAGGTTTACACGTCTAACATCACATCACGGCGAGATGCCATGAGCAAAGGGGTTGAACACGAACACATGGCACCGCTGGCGGTGAAAAACACGCTGTTGTAACTAACTAAGAAACTGAAAGTGCCACCTAAGAGATTACGACGTTGAGGGAACCCGTGCTCAAGACGCCTGCGTCGCCGCCCACCTCCTGCGAGCACCATGCATGGGGAAGAGTTCCCGCATTGCGGCGCGCTTGGATGAAAGACAGCGGCTCCTGGAACGTCTCGTGGAAACGAGTGGTGATGGAGGCGTCGGGTGTCACTAGCGACGGTCGTGGAGCACTGGATGAGGGCTGCCACTTGTTCAGCATGACCTGCTTGGCCTGCTTCTCCGGGTTGGGGTCGCGGTAGACAGACTTCGCCGCAAGCCTATCACTACGACGCGGGACGAGGTTCTCCACTGGAACGCGCGAGACGGAGGCGCGGCGGCGACTGGATGAGCAGCGGTTCGAGCGGCAGCCTGAGGCCGGCAATGAAGTCCTCGACCGAGGCGGAGCACACTGTAGGGGAACTTGCGACAGGCGTGGAAGCAGGATGGTTGGCGGTGGAACTGTGGAGGATCCAGCAACAGAAGGGGTAGGAGTCGCTGGGCTTGCCGCCGTGTGTTGGGCTTGATCGGCCAAGTCCTCATTGGATCGGATCTCTGCACCATGTCACAGCAGCTCGGAGAGGAATTTTGGAGGCCCGCTTCGATGGTGAGCGGGGAGCCCACGACTCCGCCTCCAGGCCCAGAATGGTTAAGCCCATCACCAGACACACTCTCCTTTTCGTTGGCGTCGGGTGGGCACGGCACCACCGTGGCAGACGGAGGGTCCAAGTTGTCGTCGCTTGTAGGAAGCAGCTCTGGGTTTCCGCCGCGATCAACGGGCGGGACTGCGGGCCGTGCCAACTGATCATGGCCGTCAGCCACCAGCACCGCAGCCCACGACTCGCCCGGCTGGCAGCTTAGCGGCGCCATGTCCGGCTCCTGGCTGGAAAGCAGCGCATCGATAGGCGCCACCCTGGGAGGGGCGCGCCCATCGTCCCGTGTCTCGACGAAAGTAAGCATCGGATCAATTCTTGATGGCGCGATCATCGGCGTGGAGATGGTTTGAAATTCGAAAGGATTGGCTGCTTTAGGCGACTGAGTGGAGGAAGGCGACGCCGGGCCGGCTGTCAGCATCTGACGTTTCGGCCGCGTCAGCAGGTGTGACCTAGCGGACCGAAGACCGGCCTCGGGGCGCAACGGGGAAGGAATCTTCCTGACGACGACACGCGGCGCTTCCCGAAACGTTGGGCCCCACCCGGGCCCCAGCTGTGGGTCCGGAGCGCCGCCGGAGTTCTCGTCGTCGCCGCCGCCGCAGAAACGGTGCCTGCGCGGCCACGGCCCCGAGCGGCCTCGGTTACCCCAGTCAAGCCAGTCCGGGTCCTCACCGTCGTCGCTGTCCCCCGGCGATTCGTCGTTGTCGGTGGACGGCGGCGTTGTCCAGTCTTGAGACTCAACGACACGGATACGCACCAGGTACCGCAGCGCCGGAAGCTCGGAGCGGATGACCTCGTGCTCCCGTAGGTACAGGGGCACCACGATGATCTTCTGCTGCGGGATGAATCTTGGGTGGATGCACCAAGCGGCAACGAAGAATTCCCGCAGGTCCTCCCTGTCCGCCATCTGCGGCGCCTCGACGAGGTCGGCGCAAGAGCTGGCAAGAATGCGCTCCGCCGCGTCCAGACCTGCGATGTGGGCCGGCATCCCCCTGAGGCCGAGGAGGACCTTGTAGCGCAAAGCGCCGGCGGAGGCCATCGACTGACGGTGCCACCTCTTCCAGACGACAAAGAAGGGGGTGTTCACAGGCACAGGTCCATGGAGAACGGTGAGGAGGTTGTCGCTGTCGTTGAAACGAACGAGGAAGTCTTTCTGCGAGTACCGGCTGACAGTGAAGGACTCCGACGGGATGTGGTAGAACGACACCAGGAGCTCACGGACCTCAGCAGGGGAGACCGGAGGTCGAGTCCCGCCGACTATGGCCACCAGGGCCAGAGAAGAGAGCGCCTCCTTGACGGCGTTGATCTCCACCGACCGCGGGATACGACAATCTCCGAAACCGGGCGCGTGGAAGGGTGGCCCGGCGGAGGTGACGGCGGCGGAGAACGCGGCGGGGGTGGCGGCGTAGATGCCCGCGCAGGATCATCAGCAGGCTCGGCGGTACGCTGCGGCGACCCGAAGTGCTCCCCGCACACGGGTGGGACGGAGGTATCCTGATCCGTAGAGCAGGACCGGCCGGAAACGGTACCGGAGGGCGACGGTGGGCGAGCTGGGCGCACCAGACGTGGCCGCGGCGCGCCCCTGCCGCGCGCGGGCTGTCGCGTGGGGAAGCGGCCACGCTTGCAGTCGCGAGCGCGGTGACCCGGGCACCTGCAGTGTAGGCAGCGTGACGGGAAACGGCACTCGGCGGCGACGTGGTCCCCCGCCAGGCAGTTGAAGCAGAGGCCCACCAGCGTCGACGGGACGGGGCGGTGGCGGGAGACATGCGGGCGCTCCCAGCTGCGCCAGCAACGGCGGCTCTCGACCAGCGTGAATCCATCAGCGTCGACGTATGCGCTGGCCCGGGGGACGTGGTGGTGAGGACGAGTAGGCCGCGCAGGCTCACCCGCAGCGACGCGCGCGGAGCCTGCATCTCCAACCTCTGCGGAGAGGCCTCCCGCGCGGCACGAGGAGGAGGCTGGCGGCGAGCGTCGGCCATGAACCCTCCCGTGCAAGGACGAGAGCGGCGGCGGCGACGTCTCCCGCGGCTGGGTGCCATCACTGCCTTCCCCTTGTCCGCCGCATCGACGGGCTCCGGCTCATCCGACTCGTCGGAGTACGCGTCGGAGTCAGAGAAGGAAAGCATGTCCTGGGGCCCCCAAGCGGACGGACCCGCAGCGGCCGGCGAGGATGGCGCCCAGGGAGCAGCGAAGGGGGAGAGCGACGACCCGGCCGCCTGAGCGAGGACGGCCTCCGCTGCCGTGGCCAGGGGCGGGAGGTTGGGGGAACCTTCCCCAGAACCGTCAGACTCCATGGAGGAGGAGGAGGGAGAAGGGTGGACGACGGCACCGGAGCAGTGGCCGGCGGAGCCTGGGTGGCAGCCGGCGGTTTGGACGGTGGACGCCGGGGCCGGAGTGGCCACCGGCGGGGTTCAGCGGGGGAGAACTCCCATAAGTGATATTTGTTGTTGATTTCTCTAGATGTCTACTCGATGTTTCTACATTGTTGTTGATGCAAAATGACATCAAATGCGAATCCATCCATCGTCGTCTAAGGCGGAAAAATTTGTAAAAATGACACTTAAAAAATTGACTCCTTATTACGATAACATTGAGATGGATGATAAGTGGGTCTATCTGTATTTATGAATGTGGGACCAGCGTCAAATCTGCAAACGACCGATATTTCGAGTCCCATTAAGACGATGGGAGCCACGTATACAGGTACACTAGTAAAAATCCTGCACTAAATCAGACTTAGCAACTTAATTAGTTTTCAACATTTAGAGCGTGTGTTCTCTCATATCTGGTACGTGTGGTTCGTTCTAGAGGATTATACAGACAAATTGGGCCACGTATATGCATATGCATATAAATAATTAGCATTAGCCAATTATCCATCAAGCATGCATCAGCATCACATGATCGACGGGCCTGAAGGCCTGATGCTTCCGAATATACTAACTCATCCGATCCAGTGCGTTATCACCAAGAGAACATCAGCTGGTATTTGTGGTCTCAAATCAAATCTCTGTAAGCACACAAACGGCCCCCTTGTCTAATCGCGGCCGGCCTTTGAGTGGCTGTGCGCTTTTGCTCTGTCAAATCGGCAGCTGATCGATCTCGTTGACACAGCACTATCCAGCTCTGAAACATGCATGATGGGTATAGAGCTAGCTAGGTAGAACAACGCAACCAGCGAGTTCTAGCTATATAAAGTGGCCCACTAGACCTATTGAGTGATCGGCCCTACACGTAAATTAGAGAATTCACCTGATCCACTTTTGGCCAACATTGGGTGTACCCACGTGATTAAGCTAACTAAGTATGTCTCTGATTGCATTTCTTTAACAAATAAAAATGCATATATGCAATCCTCGTGATATTCTGTAATTCTAACGATCTGGCTTTTGGAGCTCTCAAAAGCTAGCAATCCAAAACTAGCCAGAAGCTCAAACAAATAGGGTCTTGAACCCGACTTGATCCGCTTCTTTTTTCATTCGGAACAGTATTTTTCTCTCACAAATTCCTCCAAACCATCCAAATTCCTCCACAACCATACCAGCCGAACACCCCCTTAGATCGAACCATATACGATGGTTTCTTCCTACTAGCTAGTCCTAATTATGCATATATATGGTTGTACCATGTACGTACTGCTATAGAGTACATATATAATGTACATACAATCGATTATCTCCAGTTTCACGATCAAGTAGCACTGCATCCAAGTGCTGCATGTTGGTACTGCAGATCAACTGGCATTTATCTCCAGTTTCAAGATCAAGTAGCACTGCATCCAAGTGCTGCATGTTGGTGCTTCAGTTGTGCAAACTAATGACATTCCCTCCGAAACAAATACTAAAAGGCCTTTGATTTAGAGGGAAGGTGATGATCAGCATCAGCTAATAAGCACACCACTAGTTGCAAGTTGCTGGGGCCGTAACGTGCGTGCGTCCTATGCATACACTTATCTTGCATGCCCCTGTGGATGGTGGACGTATAAAATATATAATATGCCATTAATCATCTCTTAAGTATATCAACTTGCACCATGCATGCATGTTTTCCTCAGACCACCCAACGATTATGTGTGTGTGTGCAGGCAGCCAGCAGGCAGCAATGCAGCGTGCGTTTTAAAAATGCTCTGAGAGGCATATGCATGCGATGATGAACCGAAAAGGTGCGATTAGAAAAGTACCATTTGGGGATTTGGTGCAATTCGCATCCGATCGAACTGATACGCCTTTGGGGGGACAGCGAGGACTCGTCATATGACAGGATGAGTTGGATCTTTCCAGGAAGATTCGTACACGCTAATTAGATGGAGATTGAGATCGAGGATGATATGGTTTGATTATGTCCATACATAATCTATATATTTTTTCGATTAGTCTGTCATGCAATGTCTCCGTAAAGGTGTGCATATATGATGTGTGTATGAGATTAATCTTTGTATAAAATAAAAAGGTCATCTTGAATCAATTGGGGGGATGGAGAAACAAAAGTAGTCGTAGTGTACGTACGGCCAGTAATTGAAAAGCATGCTGCATCTCACGCCTAGCTAGCTAATTCTTCTTCACAAAAGATGCCAGGCAATTATATATGCTCTTGGTGTTATGTGTACAGTAATGCATATACTTGCATTGCATTAGTTAGTGACATGCATGGCCGGTTATATATAGTACATTCTCCATTAGAAAACAAGGATAGATTTGCTATAGAGATTTCAACCTGATTGGAATGAAATAACTGTTGCATATTTAATCAGAGACTCTGATGAGTATGATATTGTTATCAGATATAGTTATGCGAACTTGAACCAAGCATTAACTCTGCTTTTTCAAGGGGGCTATAGCTAATTCATAAACTACACATATATACGTAGGAGTTAATTATTAGTAATAACCAGCATTACTAATAAGCACAGAAAGCAGATACTGTATATGATATGCACATGCACGTGTACAGTATGTGTGATATGCATGTGTGGAGGCATGGCAAAGAGAAATTTTGCATTAACAAGAGAGTAATTCAGATCGTATATATATAGCAGTGCACGTGCTGTGTAATCCAGAACATATAGATTTAGCTATAGCTAGCCATTGCATATGTATATATACATTCAGACACTGAATTGTTATAAGCTAAGCTAGAGTGCACATTTATCTCGCGATCGCGTTGTTGCTGATGTTAATTACCTCATCTAAAACACGCATATGCAAAACTATAATACCGGTATTCATATTTTTCAATTCTGTGCTACTAATATATATTGATACGGTATTGGTCTGCACTTATCCATGCTCAATCACTGACACTTTTGCATGAGCTTAGATGCATTATTTGACATGCAGATATATATATATATATCATGTGTGTATATATTATTATGCACAATTACACTGCGAATTTATTTTTACTATGATGTTAAATTTGCGCACATACAATTGCACTCGAATGTAGCTAGCTAGTTTAGTATATAAGCAACTAAGCATGAATTGTGGTACATAGTTTGAGCGTGGGGGCAAACCATACCTTATATGTTGTAGCGTAGAATGTACGTAGATAATGAGCTAGCTGCTGATCAATATTCCACCGCGCTGATAATGTGTCATGCATGTATATATCTAAAAGCTCTAAAACAAACAGATGACGAGAATAGTACATATATTTGAAGTCTGAAAGTTTTTTTTAGAGAAATTTGAAGTATGTGATCAATAATACAAATAAAAGCCTAATATGGAGCATATGTATCCTTGCCTAAGCATGTATGCTCTATATATGCACACTATGAATGCATGGTCAAAAGACGCATTCTTATGTTACTATGCAAAGGTAGATCAAGAACCTTATTGGTGCATACGGAGAAAAAAATTGTATACAGACATCAAGAACGAAATAATATAACAGCTGAGGCAAGCTGTACTGCTAGAAGTAGTACAGAAGACAGCTGTGTTTGAGATCATGCATGAAGATAAAGTCATTATTCTATTTCCATCTCTTGTGCTTGTGGATCAAAATATTCAGCTGGCATGCATATATATGCAAGTGCTCATACACATACGAACATTCTCTCTGATCTCAGCAATGATGAAATTTGTCTTGCATAAATTAATGACAACCCATGTACGAACTGTGTCAATGTATACGATTGCAGTTGCAGGCAAGAGTCAACACATCTCTATGCTTCACAGTACAATCAGAACAACTGCTAGATATGATCACCAGATCCCATGCCCATGCACACACAACATGCATGTCTTGATTAAAAAAGCGCGTTAATACTATTTCTCTTCTTGCAGCTGGCATCATCCGCCTGATCGTTTGGCTTATAAGTCGTACTTTTTCAGCCAGCGAACAATATTTTTCTCTTACAATAAATCAGCCAACAGTACTTTCAGTCGTGGCTTATCAGCCAAGCGAACAGGGCACATGTCATTACAGAAAAGGCGGCAAATCCTCTTGCATTGGTTCTGAGTTCTGACTAGTGGCACCAATTCAGAAACTTATTGCACCACAAGTGAAAAGGCCCATGAAGACTAACAAATCTATCACATCAGATCACATCGAAGGAGAGGAGAAAGGAGGAACATTTTAGGATCATAGCTTGAGTTCAAGGTCCACGTCTTGTGGATCGTCGGAGTTCAAACTTGTTGAATCTGCTGACTGACTTCGATCATGATGTCCCTTCAATCGGGCAGATTCCTATACAAAAATTTTGCAACCAAACATGTTTATATATCTATCTATATAAATACTAATGGTAAGATAATTCATCTAGGTGAACAGTGAGTAGATCACTCATTCAACTCTACCTCACTCTTATGATGGTCTACATACCTGTGGTTCAAAGAGAGGCAATGTGATGTTAGGATGCTGCGCGTAATGTGCGTTGCCATAGACAGCACTGCTGCTCGGTGATCTGGTAGTTGGCACACGTAGTTGCAAAATCAGCAATGTTAGTTGGAGCTTGTGCAAGCTATTAAGTGAGACATCTCTTAAATTCAGTAAGTGAGCATGCAGTGATAATATATGAGTTGCCAACAGGCCACCATCGTACCTTATGATGGGAGCTTGGAATTCACTGTATCGTACGTCTCTCTCTCCGTATGGCATCTACATCATAAAGCCAGAAATAATGTAAGAACTCTATCTAGCTTGGTGCAATGATTCATAATGCATTAGGATGGAAAGCACAAAAGAAGATTTGATATAAACTGGTTTTAGGAGTTCGCTGCGCATTTTATTATATTACAATATATGTAAGATTTAGAAGAGCCACACAAACAAAGAAACCACATGATGGAGCTAGATATCAAAGAAAACACACGAACAAGAAAAAGGCGACAAATAACGAATCACAAAGAAAGAGAAGATTTAGAGCTGTCCAACCAACTTAGCTAGAAAGTGCATATATATCCAACTCAACTGAATCTGGTATAGAAGCATGACTCGTCAAAGATATTTCTTTTGAACAAACGATAGACCAATCAATTCACTGTTGGTCATGAAGAATTAGGCTTTAAGACCCACTCTTCTGTGTTCAGAAAAAAGGGACTAATTTCTGTTATCTCCACATGCATGTGTCACCGGCCTGTGCTATATAGCAACCCATACCCACTGAATCATGCATCAAAGAAGGCTCCCATTTGGATTATCCCTCTCTCATGTAGAAGCTAGATATATGCAAGTCTGAACTTCTGATAGACCAATTCCTTCCTAAGGAACTACTAGTAATCTTTCCAAGGGAAAGGTGTCCATGTACCGCGAAATTTTGATGGATTGGGAACGGCGACGAGATGGTGGTAGGATGGAAGGAGGAAGATGGCGACGACGACAGCGAGGACGTCGAAGCCCGTGCATCCTCCTGCTAGCAGATTGATCCAATTCAAAAGCACAAGAAATTAGGATTCCAAATAATACATGATGGCATGCCAGCAAACTAAATAGAAGAGAAACGGTTTTCAAGGACACCCATCATCACTTACCAAGTTGAGGCTGCCCGTTCTGTGGATCAAGCTCGGGGGTTCGCCGAGGGGATGGAAGTACTCCACCATTTCGCTCTGTAACCTAATCTTCTCAAGCTGCGCCACGCCGAGCCCTCGCTGCGGCTGCTTGGGCTTGTCTGTCCCGCCGCCGCTGCCGCCACCTCTCTTGCCCCTTCTCGAGCCAGACGATCTCCCGCTACTGCTCCACCCCATGCTGTCCCCAAAGTTGCTCCCACTCATGTCCGAGACTGAAGACCTAGCTAGAAGGAAGACTTGGGAGAACAAGGTGAACAAAGCTAGCTGGAGAAGAAGGAGAGGAGGTGAGAGAAAGAGAGAGTTGATTGAATGATGCACGAGACCCTTTTAAAATGGGAAGGAAGAGATCTTCTTGCAGAGCAAATATATCCCAGGCTTATTAAAAGGTCTGGGAGACCTGTCCTCCCAAGCTTTTCTTGCTTCAAATTTTTAATTGCATCTAGTGGTATGGCCATCTTTAGATTATAGATAAATATGTACAAAACTAAATAAGAATGGCTAACTCATTTTTATTTGTTAGGTGGTGATCTCCTAGGATATTTTTCATCAAACACCATTGTTGGTTAGTTACAAAAGTATACATAATACTGATTCCAAATGTATGTCATTTATGACATTGACATGTTCTCTAATATGACACACTTTGACTTGCAATTTTGTTTAAATAAAACATTTTAAATAGCAAAATTATATATTATAATAGTTTTTCTTGGTGAATATGGTAGCATCAATCGTATATATATGTTGTGAATCCTTGTAGCTTTACTGGTCCAAGTTAAAATAAAAGTTTGACCAGATGAAATCCTAAGATGACCTTTACATGGACCAGATCATGAATTGGAGGTTATGCATGTAGATACTCCCATTTACTCATTGGACAATACTAGAGCACATATATAAGCAATAAATTCTACTCCCTCTATCCTTGAATAAATCAATTTTTATAGTTGTCTTAAGTTTTTAAGTTTGATCGAATTTATAGAAAAGAGGTGTCGGTACAGAAAGTGACCAACTAGTGAATATTTGTAATTTTGCTGTACGTTGTGATCGGAGGTGGCCTAGCACTCAATGACACATGATTTATACTGGTTCAGGCAACATACCCGACGTCCAGTTTGGGTTGGTCGGTGACTTTATTTCTGAGCCCAGGTGCTCGAAGTCTGCAGTGAGGTTACAAACGAGAAGAAGAAAGATGGGGGTACCTGAGGCTCGGTCGGCTCCGGTCGGAAGGGCCGAGAGCGACGGGAACTCCGCTATGAGCTGAGTGTTCAAGCGTGTGCTTGAGATCCGAACCTGGCGGTTCTGTGGTTGTGAGCTATTGGACTAATGAATATAAATGAACTAAGCTTGGATGAATCGGTGGGCCCTCCTGTTGGAGCGAGTGCATCCCTTTTATAGATAAAGGGGATGGCTTTACATGTGAGAGGGAGAGGGTATGGATGCTTTTAAGCCTTGTTGCCCACGCCGATGAGGATTGGATAATGGTAGGCGTCCACAACACTGTTGATGTTACTGTAGAATGCCCGGTGCACGTGGGAGGTTGCGTTGTCTTTTTCAGAAAGGGTTGACGTCGGTACCTGCAAAATACTGTTGGATGCCTAGAGGCATGTGAGGAGTCTCACCACGTTTACCGGGTCTGGTGAATCCCAGCGCCTACAACACTATTAATGCCCAGAGGCATGTGAGGGGCTTTTTGCCGTACGGGAGTCCAATGGCGCCTACAATACTGTAGGGATAAATGTCGGCGCCTTACAATACTGTTTGTGTCAGGGTGGTTGTGGAACACTGTTCCCGCAGGTGTATAGGGTATGGTCCCTATACCATGGTTTGACTCACGTGCTGCCTTCTTCGTTCGTCCCTGATCCCTTCCGAGCGGGCGTCCCCGGTTGGATGGCCCCAGTCGGCTTCGGTTGCGCTAGTTGGAGAAGAGCGGCGAGTAGGGTTCTTACGTACCCCAGTCGGAGAGACGCGGGGTTGGAGTCGGAAGTAGGGCTCGGGGCGAGCCTTCCGATCGGAGAGGCCGTCCGGAGGCGGCTGGAGCCCGAATCGAGCGCTCTGGCCGGATAGGTGGGCCGAAGTAGCTGATGAGCGGGCGTTGCTCTTTTTGGGCCAGGCCTTCTAGTCGGTTGCCGGACCGCCCCTTTGCCCTGTTGTTTTTAAACTCTCGGGTCGAGCCTTGGCGTGGAGCCGGTCCCCGTGGGACCCCGGGTTTATGAACTCGACAGGAGCCCCCGAGCCCCTGGGCGATTCAGGCAGATTTGTCCGGGAGATTTTTGTCCTGCCGGCGGGTACGCGCGAGCGCACCCGCGGGTGTAGCCCCCGAGCCCCCAGGTGGTTCGGGTAGAACCGGCTGGGGGGGTTTTCTGTGTTGTCAGCGGGGCAGGTTTTTCTGTTGTTCGGCGGGTGCGCGCGAGCGCACCTGCGGGTGTAGCCCCCGGGCCCCCAGGCGGAACCGTCTGGGGTGTGTTGTTTAAGCGGGCATGTGAGCATGTTTTTAGTCTGAGACGTATTTTCGTTTAACCAAGGCGTCGTTGTGCGGCCGAGGTGTTTAGGCGCGGAGATTGGATTGAGTCAGAACTTACTGATCCCGGTGTCGATGCACGCCGTGGATCGAACGTGAGAGAGCTCACTGATCTTGGCGTCGATGTGCGCCGTGGGATTAGGTGAGCGAGTTAGTTTGGGACAAACTGTGGCATCGGTGCGCGCCGCGGATGGAGACAGCTTAGTTCGGATGCGACAGAGATCGTTGATCTTTAGCATCGATGCGCGCCGTGGGATCGGGCCAGGCGGAGTCGCGAGCGGACCCAGGCGTCGGTGCGCGCCGTGGATCAAGCGAGTTAGTTTAGTTAGTTCAGGAATCGGTCGAGCCGAAGCTCGTGGATCCTGACGAGGAGAGTTCGGGGTCATGGTCCTAGGAGTCTAGAGTGCAGTCGGAAGTGAAGCCGTATGACGTGAGTTCGGGGTCGCGGTCCCAGGAGTCTAGAGAGCAGTCGGAAGTGAAGCCGTATGACACGAGTTTGGGATTGCGGTCCTAGGAGTCTGGAGCGCAGTCAGAAGTGAAGTCGGATGGAGCCGAAGTGTAGTTAGTTTGTTAAAGATTGGATGAGGCGGTGCTCGCGGATCTTGGCGTCGGTGCGCGCCGCGGGATCGGGCGAGTCAGAGTCGTGGATCTGGCGAGTTCGTGGTCGTTGTCCTTGGCGTTTCTCTTGAGCCCTCGAGCCCTGTCGGGCCTTCGTGGTGGTCGATGTGAGTTGTGTGCGTTACCCCATTCTCGGTTCCTCACAACCGGAGGGGCTGAGTTTCATCGCTTGTCCCGATCGCTCGAGCTCAAAGACTAGCCGGGTGAGTTCGCTAAACGGGTGTGATCGAGCGGAATCCAGGTCCATCGTTCATGACGGGGTCGGCATAGCCCTCTTATGACATTCCACTACTCCTTTACCTGCAACCTGGCAGATGCCTAGGTCATTCCAGAGACCGACCCGGGTGGCCTAACGGCCTCCTCTCGATGGAGATTCTGTGGGCCTGGCGAGAGATTTAGGATCGAACGAGAAGGTTGAGATGACCCGATCTACCGAACCGAACGAGGGCCGCATGGTGCTCATATATGGTTTTCTCCCCTGGCTTTGTTGGTTGCTCATGTCGAATGAGGCAACCGCCGCTTCATGACGCAACATGGAGCGTCCTGATGCATTTCGCTGCACGTGCGATGCTTAGTTCCCGAGCCCCCGGGCGATTCAAGGCCTGAATCGTCTGGGAGGCATGGGCGTATGGGATGAAATGCGCGTATGGATGTATGAAATGATTTATAATGAAATAGACGGGGTTTGATAGTGTTTTACCTTGATGACTGGAGTGACGGGTCTTGGAGAGCTTCAGTCAGAAACGTCCGACCGGGACCCGTGCTCGTCATTCTTGATGGAGTCGGCATGGCCTACATGGGGTGTCCCTTTGCTTCCTACCTATGTCTCGGTATGGATACTGAGCGATTCGATCGACTCAGGGGGCCGGTTGGTCTCCCGGTGGAGATTTCATTTGTGGTCTCCCTAGGTCTGTCCTGGGGGAGTGGGGAGCCGCCCGCGTGTGGTGGTTCTTCGGTTCCTATGCCCGTCGTGTGGTAGTGGTTGATCGTGTGGTAGTGGTGGGCCATGGCCGGGCCACGTCCCATCTGATCAGGAGGCGTTCCGTCAGGCAGAGCACGTCTCATCGGCCAGGGCACGTCTTATCTGCATTAAATGGAAAAGAGAGAGGTTTTCTCATTCCGCCATTCTGCCTTTCCCGATCGGCGCGTCCTTCCCAAACTGTTGTTTCCTTTTCCTTAAGTAGGAGAAGTGAGAGGGTTTTTGTTCCATTCTTTTGCATGTTCCTCCTCTGCCGCCGCCTTCCCTTCTCCTTCTTGCCGTGAGTGTTCCTAAGAGCCACGGTGGTTTCTAGGAAAGAAAGGGGAGAGAGCGAGGGAGGAGAGAAGAAACTCATCGATCCTTTTGCGATCTGGAGCAAAAATGTCAGACTAGAGGTCGTCCAACGTGAGGAAGTCGGTGCTGGAGGCTTTCGTCAAGAAGGGGTTTCTGCCACCGCAGGAGGTGGTCACTGGAGGGTCCCTAGGGGGGAGGAGTTCCCGCAACCTCATCCCGATGAGGTGGATTCTTTCCTTACCTTCCATGAGCGTGGATTAGGGTACCCCGCGCACTGGTTCCTGCGCTGGCTCCTCAACGAGTGGAGTCTAGAGCTGCAGCACCTTAATCCGATGGGGGTGCTGCACATTACCGGCTTTGTCACCATCTGTGAGGCTTTCCTCGGGATGGAGCCGCACATGGATTTCTTCCGGTGGCTGTTCTCCAGGAGGACCCTGACGGCTGGGAGTTCGGCCGAGACCGCGCCGGTGGGAGGTTTTGCCCTGCAGAGGAAGCCGAGCGTGGGAGATTCGTATCCCGCGTACTCCCCTGTGACTCCAACCGGGGTGGCATAGGGAGTGGTTTTATATCAGGAATCCGGCGGAGGCGCCGTTTCTGGCGTTCACCGGTGGGAGGCCGGAGAAGCAGAAAAGTTGGTCGTGGGGTTGCGCCCGCACGAAGAGGCACAAGGTAGAGGTCATCGAGGAGGAGCTGCGGAAGAGGACGCAGCCGATGTGGATGTACGGTGGCCGGTCGGACCCGGACCGTGAGTCGCCGGAGGGCCTGCCAGATGATGAGGTCTAGAGTCGCCTT